TTTTACCTATCTCTTCAAGTTTCCGTAGAAAATTCATTTTCTTGTAATTTAGAACTCATTTATCAATATACCCATGGAATACTGACATGTTAGATTATTTTTAAAGATGTACCAAATTTTTAAAGAGTACAGATACTAATATCGTCGATATAGTTCGTTCATTTCATAAAAAAATAAAGAAAAAACTGTTTAAATATTTGTTAAAGGACCAATTAATATGATTCCAGTATTCAAACGACATTAATTGACTGTTTGCGTTGATTAATAATAATTGCTCCAAATACTAAAAAACTGAATTATGTATGTGTATTAGACAGTGTGGTAAAAAGTAACACCTTAAAAATAATATTTAATTTTTTGACAAAGGCTTATTTATAACAACAGAGACGTTCATTTTCATAACTTATTATTATATTGATTTCTGATTCAAATCCACATTTATTTAGAATAATTTATTAACGAACACAATTAAGTATGTAGTTAATTAGTATTTGGGCGGAAATACTGGTGGTATATTAATTAATCGTATACTGTTTTGTAGGAAGTTAAAATAGTTTTCTTTTGCATACAAATGGGCAAATAATATTATCGTTTTACTAAAAACGATAATATTACCTAACCTATATATTCTGTCGCAGAAGATCACTTGACATTGATAGATGTGTCTGTCATTTTAATTTCAAAAGTAGTTTATTTTATTTTACAAAGAGAAATAAGTTGAGTACAACTGGACACGCATAACAGGATATTTAAAATTTGATTGAATTCATTAGTATTTGGGCGGAAATACTGGTGGTATATTTGAGTAATCGTATACTGTTTTGTAAAGATTTAAATGGTTTTCTTTTTGCCTGGGCAAAATAATATTATCTGTTTACTAAAACGATAATATTACTAACCTATAATTGCTTGAAGATCCTTGACAAGTGATAGATGTGTCTGTCATTTTAATTTCAAACTAGTTTATTTTATTTTACAAAGAAATAAGTTGGTACAACTGGAACGCATAGCGATATCTGTGGCGATATATTTAAAATTTGATTGACAAGATGACAAGTGATTACTTCAAAATTGTATAAAACTGAAAAAATGTAATCGAGTTATTTTATTTAATAAAAACGGTATGTGTTAATACAAAACAAACAAGAACAAGGCACTACATACCAAAAAAATATAAAAAATAACTATTATTTACTTTCAAGCTTTATGAAACTACCCGCATTTATGATTATATTTATCAATATAACTTATGTACAAATACAAATTTGTAATATTCCACAGGTATAAATAAAACAACATAGGTAAATACAACAACTATTTTATTAATAATAACACCTACCAAATTTTATACCTTAAAGGTGGATTAATTACCTTTAATCTTAATTTTTTTAAACCAGTACCTTTTGACATTATTTTTCTGCACCAGTACTAAAATCCATTATTTACCTATCGTGTGATGTCGATATTTTACAGCTACTCCAGTTTTTAGTATGTGTTTAGTTTGATCCTTATATACGAAATGCACTTATCTACGACGAAATGGTATACAAACTTTATCGATGGCAACTTCATTGGTGTATAAGACTTTCTGCCTGGGCAGCGTGTATTAACCATAAACTGTGCTCTGGGCCTACAGTTAATTTTCACTCGATTTTTCCTCCACTTGACTTCAAAAGACACAAAACACACGTAATAATACGAATCAAAATGCATCATCTTTCAAAATGCAGGGTATTTAACAAAAGTTGACACAAAATTATAACCAATAATTTGGCAAGACTTTGACAAGCGTCAAAAATGACAAAAATCTAAAGGCGAGTTCATACGCATCGGCGTCCGTTTGTCGTTCATCGTTCCGTCAAACCAATAAAATTGAAATACGATCTGTCATTTTTTAAATAAACCAATAAAACTGGTTAAAAACAACTAGACACGACGCATGACGGATTTATATTTAAACCCATCCATAGATAACTTAAAAATTATTAGAAACTTTTTTAGTAAAATAAATAGATTGGTATGGGACGTCATCTGCTTTTCTTCTGTCATCGTCTGTCGAAATCTTACCTGAGAAAAAAAACAGAGTATACATTTTGTACATTTGTTGTTTTAAAAACAATCTAAAATGTCAATATTCCATGGGTATATTGATAAATGAGGTCTAAATTATAAGAAAATGCATTTTCTACGAAAACTTGAAAGAATAGGTATAATACAATTTGAGAGACAATTAAATTGTGCATCCGATTCTCATAAAATATACAGGGTGTTCTATTTAAAGTAAATAAGTTATTGCCGTTTAGAGCTAGTAATAATTTAAAATAAATTTTAGACACTCTGTATAAAGGTAGTATATAATTTTATTATTGCAACACAATAACTGATCAATAAATAAACTTCAGTAAATATTTAGTATTAAAAACTTTGATATCCTCGGAGAAATGAAGCCTTAAAATTTATACTGCAATTTCGCAAAATTGAAAATATGTCGAAAACGGTAAGGTTTAAGTGTAATAAACCTTAATCAAATTTACCTTTATTTTAATCGTAGAAACTAAAAATGCAATAATATACGGCATGTTCCATTTAAAAAAATACAACTTTGATCTTTTTTATTTATTTGGGACACTCTGTATCTTGTAAAAATATTTTTAAATTATAGCTCTAATAATCCTTCAACGAACCCAAAACTTACAATTTGTAAAAATCTAATCGTTTAGCTACAATACTCCGTGTCGTATGTGGTGAACATCCCTGTATATACTGTATATCTATCTCGATATCTATTTATTTAGATTTTAATTTTTTTGTTTTGCAGTAATACTTATTATAAGTGTTTAAAACACTATTATTTGTAATTTTGTAATTTGTATTATTGTAACACTTATTTATTATTAATAATAATAAACATGCTCAAAAAATTATAACTGACCTAGGTTTGTTTATTAATTTTAGATTTTACGTTATTCTTTATTATCATGAAAAAATATGAAAATTTTTAGATTTTACGACATTTTGGACTATGTTCTTTTAGATGTTTAAAAATGAAATAAAAAAATAACAGAAACTTTTTAAATTAAGCTGTTATATATAAATACTGTTACATATACATATATAGACTTTGAGAAGGCTTTCGACTCCATATTCTAAGGCAATAATAGAAGCCCTAGCGAAACAAGGTATTGACAGGCCATGTATAGAAACTCTCGCCAATATATAAGCAATAAAAGAAGCCAAAGCAAGAGTAATGATATATAAAACAACCTCGGAGTTCCCAACTGTCAAAGTAGTATGACAGGGAGACGCGATATCCCCAATAACATTAGAAGTAATCTTCCGTCAACTGGCCTGGACCAACAAAGAATTAAAAATAGATGGAGATTATCTTAACCAACTAAGATTCGCTGATGACGTAGTCCTAATTGCCAATAGTGCCGAAGAACTACAAGCACAAATTAACGAACTAAATACAGCCAGCAATAAAGTGGGTCCCAAAATGAATTTAGCAAAAACTACAGTAATGCACAACGAACTAGTGGAAAGAAAAGACGTTCTAATAAAAAACACAACGCTGGAAATAGTAGAAGAATACATATATTTGGGACAACTAATACACAGTTCGGGATCTTTACTACCAGAAATTAACAGAAGAATTAAGTTAGCATGGATTACTTATGGGAGAAACTCAATCATCTTCAAATCTGGAATGCCACTCTATCTAAAGAAGAAAACATTCTACCAATGTGTACTACCAGTCATGACCTATGCATGCGAAACCTGGACACTTTAAAACGGCCATCATAAGGAAATTGAAGGTCGCACAACGCTCAATGGAACGAAATATGCTGGGAATAACCCAGAGAGATCGTAAAAGAATAGGGTGGATACAACAAAACACCCAGGTAATTGATGTCATTCACAGAATCAAATCCCTCAAGTGTGCAATGGGCAGGACATCTATCAAGAAGGACGACCAACAGATGAACCAGAACAATAATTACAGCATGGAACACACGAGGAATTAAGAGACCTAGAAGAAGACCAAACCTGAGATGGGACCATGATATTAGGAAATTAGCAGGGATAACTTGGGCCCGCATAGTCAACAATAGAAAACAAAGGTATTCTTGAATGGAGAACAATCTGTTAACCGTAGCTTCACATTAAATGGAAACAGTATTACTGACCAGAAAAAGATAAATATCCCCGGTGCAGTTTTTGATCTGCTCATACAGGAACGATATGAAAGATACCATGCAATGGATAAACATCTAGCAAGGACAAAACTTCTCCAACAGTGGCAAGAGAAATGGAATAACGGAATATATGGCAGATGGACATACAGGTTAATACCCGACATACAACTATGGTTAAACAGACAATATGGAAAAGTCGATTACTTTATGAGTCAAGCATTGTCTGGCCATGGGTGTTTTTGAAAATATTTATACGATCGTCGTAGGGTTGACATCATATGTCTACTGTGATGATGTTGAACATACACTGTTTGCGTGTGAACGATGGCAGGTTTTTAGGCAACAATTCTGTATAGAAAGCAACTGAGACTTTGACTTACCCGCATTATTGATGTACTTAGTTAAAAGGGAAGAACAATGAAAGCTAATATATCGGATAGTCCGAAATATAATAAGCTGTAAAGAGAGGGAAGAGAGACAATGAGCATCATGTGAAGTAAATCACGACACCCTTTGCACTGCAGCAATGCGGGAACGGATTCCAGTGTAAAGTGGTAGTTGGAGGAGGGCTTTTTAGTCGGTAGGAATCCGGCACTACCCAACTGTGAGTATCTTATGCAAGATTTTTTCCCTCTTCATCTACAAAAAAACACAACAATGGGCCCAACTACAAAGAGAGTATCTAAATATGTGAGGAAGGCTACACCATAATTGGAAATGTTTGAATGAGGTGAAAATGATGATGATATATAAATAAAAGTAACAGTTTACAATTTTGACAAATAATATAAAAATTATACCAACCTTTCCCAGAAACATCACCATTCTCAGGATCGCTTTTACCGAAAGAAACTTTCCTATCACCGCCAATATACTTCTCACCTAAATGACCACCGTCTGTTCTATACCCACTGTCCACTTCATTTTCGTACGATCCAGCGTCCGACACTGTTGGGCTGTCCACGTCCAACAAACCCGGCACATTATTCGCGTACACGACCTGCTTTATGGTTACCGGACCTTTGTAAATGTTCTTATCACCTATATGGACGTCAGTAGAGTTCTCGATGGACACGTTCTCAATATATGGCGCTATGGGTTGGCTCACTGGTCCCATATATCCCAGATTTTGTACGAGCTCTCCCGTGGGATTGTACTTCTTGATCTGGTTAGGTTCATCGTGGCGGAACACTCGGTTGTCTTCTTCTGATATGTAGTCTAAGGCTGATTTTGGATCGAAATTGTGTTGAATGTTGGGTGGTGATGCTATTAAGGTCATAGCCTTAGTCGGTATAATCGTATTATCATACTTTTATTGTTCTCTTCTGATTGTTGTTTCTCTGTTATACCTATTAACAAAAAAAAATATACATACATATATAATATAGTTTTGTGGTGGGTTTATTTCAGAAAGAAGGCTGAGTTTTGAAACTTAGCTCTTAAATCCAAAAAAGTTACATTTTGTAAATCGTTACTATCAGGGTGCAAAATATGATGATTTTTTATTTTAATTAGATTTTTTTTAATTCAATCGGACTTTTTTTTTAATTTTAATCAATTTTCTATTTAAAGTCCTATATTAAATGGCTAAATCTTTGTAACTCTGCCCGATATTGGCAATATTATCATTTTTACGGCGCGTGTTATTTTTCCTCATCGGTCACCGATATATTTTATTCTGTAACTCTTGCCGATGCCCTTATTATTGCAAAAAATCGGCTGCTTACATCACAGGGATTTTTTTTGGAAATAGTCATAACTGTCTTAAGTCGAGAATAAAATTAGTACCATCTAATGTTCAAAGTGCAAAGTACTTATTGCAAAGCGCAATGTCGGTACAGATTTGAAATGAACTAGAAGATAAATTAGGGCAGGAAGAAGTTAGCTTGATCAAGATTCAGCTGTTTCAAAAAAATTATAAAACAGCCTCGATTCCAGCTTATCTTTTGACACTGATTAGTCCTCGGGAATAAAAATTTAACCTGCCATCAGAAGAAACTAGTTCTGCATTTCATTGGCAAACTCTATGCCAATGAAATGTATTCAAATACCGGATTTCTAGCACTTCACAATTTCAAAATAATCTCTGCCATTTAGCAGAGTGTAATGGATTCACGGGTAAAAATCGGTCCAACATTTTAATAGAAAAATAGATATTAGGGATATGTGTTAGATGTTATAATCTTTTACAATTATTTTCCGTTCTATTAAAGTATTAAACGTTACAACAACAAGCGTAACTGTATTTGATGAATAGATGTTATAGGAATACTTTTTTATAGCTTTATAGGAAAAGTTTTTATAATTTTTACAGTTATCTTTCGATTTATTATTAGTTATATAGTTATTAAGTTTTGATATTTAAAATTGATTATTATTAAGTGATAATAAAAACAAGTTGATTTTTTTGATTAAATCCATGATTAAAATAAAAAAAAATCCGTTGATTTAAATCATTGCATCCTGAAAATTATATTTTGGTTTAATTAATAATAAGTTAAAAACTAATAGTCTTTTATGGTAGTCAAATTTGCTTATAGGTAGAAAGGCACTGAGAGTTGACCTTTGTTTACATCATAATACAGTAGCATTTATAAAAAAATGTATGTGCAAAAAATTATGTGCGCATATTTGAAGTGATTTTTTTTGAACAGCTATTAAATTGAAGGCTCGATTGAAGGATTTGAAGGACCTCTTTGGAAAAGTGTAGTTTGAAATGTTGAAATTTTAACAGTGGTATTTTGAACAGTGGCGTAACTTAATACAGATAAAAACTTTCCTTAAACTAATATTATAATCTAATTAATCTAGGCAGGGATACAACAACAGGACACTGTCTCCTCAATGAACACTTCAGTAGATTAAAGCTAAGAAACAACGGCGAATGCAGATTCTAAGCGGAAAATGGGGAAATATTAGAACACCTCGTCACTGAGTGCGCCGAGAGAACAACCATTCATGCCATAATCTTTGGTACGACTGATATTAGAGATAGAGAACTAACCGCTGTAAAACCGTCTTAGATAGTGGCTTTTGTCAAAGCCTTGAGACTGTATGGTGAGTTATAACTCAAGAAAGGGGGAAACAATAGATCTATAAGGTCGTGGTGACCATTAACAATCTACATAAAAAATTAGTAAACAGGGTTTCTAGTTTTTTTTTATTAAAATAAGATTCTGTAATTTGCATTTTTAAATTAATTATTTGATAGCCCAAAATAAGTTTTATTGAGCGTGATCGCGTGACAATTTTATGGTTTCTGTATTCCCAAAGTAATGAACCACGCGCCGTCATGTCACTGTTGTTTGTTGTTAAAATCATAAAGTAATATTTTCCTGCTTCTAGATTTATTATGTTTATGGTTGCCAAACTTTTAAAAAATTAAATTTAGCAACATTTCATTTAACAAGAAAACTTTCGTATACATTTAAAGCATTTTACGAGTAAGAATGATAAGACTGATTGTTTAACTATGTCTGGGTTTTTGTTAGTGTTACTGAGATATTTGACGCAGTTGTTATTCGGAGAAATCTGAAATAATTAACGTAAGCATAAATATTTATACTTTTTATTAAATTCTGTTTTTTTTTCATAGTCTCAAGCCCCATACACTATACGCCGATGCGGTTAGTCTATGCGTCGATTTGATGCGCCAGTGCGTCGATGCGATGGGTTGTGTTGTGGTTTGGCGGAAATATTATTTTTAAATTAAAATTATTAAATTAAAATTAGTGCCATTTTTTCGAAGAAAAATTTATGATTAATTTAAAAAAAATAAAAATTTCCCAAATTTATCAATTTAGTGAAATAACTATCTACTCGACATGCTATTTTTGCCAATAATGACATGTATTGACTGTTCCCATTCTAAATATCTTGAGAACGGTTGCTCGTATCGATTTTTACCAAGAGAAATTTTTTATGTAAAAAGTCACGGTAATGTATATTTTTTCAATCAGTAATTTTATACAGGTACGGACGAAAAGTTATTACTCTTCAAAACAGTTAAAATACATGTAGGTGACGCTCCCTATAAAAAGGAGTCATATTGACATCAAAATCAAATTTCTCATGTCAAAAAACTTCCAGACACCAATTTTTATCCAAATATTGACGTTACTTCAGAAATTATTTGGATAAAATCGAAATAAAAATGAAACTTCTACACCCTGTATCTCCGAAAGTAAGCATTTTCGGACATACATTTATACGAACTTTTTTACATATTTTTATCTGCAGAATATGCTGCCGTAGTTTCCGGAATACAGTTCGGACCACCCTGTATAATAAGGGGGATCAGACACATTTTTGATTAATCAAATATTTATATGAGTTATCAGCAGTGATTCACTATAAACAAAATAAATAATCAACTGTGTTAAATTAGTCACGTAAATATTATAATAAATACTGACTAATACTGTTAGTAAGACAAGCTAATATTAACAATCGCATTGGTTTTGCTATATTTAAAATACAATTTTCTTCTTCTTCTTCTTCTTTTAGAAGGCGTATCGCCTGTTTAGTTCCGGTTTCCTCCTCGTCTAAGCAACTCTTGCGAGGTTGACTGCCAACTGTCTTGCCAACGTTTAGGTGGTCGTCCAGTAGGTCTTCTGCCATGGGGTACGTTGTTGCGAATTATTATGGCCATTCTGTCGGGGCCCATTCTATTGACATGCTGGTTCCATTTACTTCTTCTCTGCCTTATCCATCTGACAACGTCGTTTGTTTGGCACTTTTCTCTTATGTCTACATTTCTCTGTCTGTCCCTCAATGTGTATCCAGTTATCATTCTTAAGGTCTTCATTTCAGTAGTTCGTAGGATTATCTTTGTTACTGATGTTTCAGCTCTGGTTTCCGCACCATATGTCATCACTGGTCGTATGCAGGTTTTGTATATTCTTGACTTACAGTCTGTACTCAAATGTTTGTTTTTCCATATGGGATATTTAAGATGTCCTGATATTGCGGCAGCTTTATTGGCTTGTTTTCTTACTTCTTCTTCCAAGAATCCTGAGCTTGTAATTTTGCATCCGAGGTATTCGAATGACATTATCTGATCAATAGTTTTGTTTTTTATTACCAATTTGCACCGTAGAGGCTCCTTTGTAATGGTCATGTATTTGGTCTTATTTGTGGAAATTTGCATGTTAAGTTTTTCTGCCTGTCTGTTAAAAGCTTGTAGCATTCTTTGGAGGTCGTCCTCTGACTCTGCAATAAGTACTGCGGCATCGGCATAGCATAATATGTTTACTTTATGCATTCCCATTTGATATCCTAATCCAGTATTCTTGACGGTTGTTATTACTTGATCCATGATAGTGTTGAATAACAGAGGGCTGAGGCTGTCGCCTTGGCGAATACCAGTTGTAGTTCGAAGATGCTGCGTTAAGGTAAAGTTTGTTCTTATTTGGGTTGTTGTGTTTGTGTTTAAGTCCTTGATAAGTTCTGTGAGTTCTTTTGAGACATTACTGCTTTCCAAGATGGTGATGATGTCTTTTAGTTGGACTCTATCAAAGGCCTTTGTTAAATCTATAAAACATAGATAGGCTGGAGAGTTATATTCTAAGTTTTTCAACTAGTTGCCTGAGTATGAATAGTGCATCGGTAGTTGATCGATTTCTTCGGAATCCTTGTTGTTCCTCGCTTATTGGCACTATTGAGGAGATTTTGTCCGCAATGATCTTAGTCAGAAGTTTTAGCGAGGTGCTCAGTAATGTTATTCCTCTATAGTTTGCTGGGTCTGTTTTATCTCCCTTTTTAAAATGGGTATTGTTATACTTTGTTTCCATTCTTCTGGTATTTTCTTATGTTGTAATATAATGTTAAACAGTTTTGTGTATTCCTCTATGATAGCCGTGCCTGCGTTTTTTATTAGCTCGTTTGGTATTTTATCTTGATTAGGAGATCTTATATTTTTAAGTTTCCTTATTGTCTCTTCTACTTGCTTGTAAGTGATTTGCGCATGATCTTCTGTATTATCTCTTTGGCTTGTCTCTTGTGCTTCCATTGGTTCATCTGTTTCTGCGTATAAGTCTCTGAAATATTTTTCCCACGTATCTTCTGCAATTGTTCTTAGTTGTATTGTTTCATTTGTTTCTCGTTTCAAACCCCTCAACATCTTCCAAATACGTTTTTGTGCTCCGTACATATCCGCCTCCATTTCGCTACTAAATCGCTGCCAATATTCTTCTTTAATTTCTCGTACTCTATTATTAGTCCTGTTCCTTATTTTGGTATAGATATTTCAGTTCTCCCGGTGTTGGAGATTTCTTGTATTGTAAGTATTTTCTTCTGTTCCCTTGTAATGTTCTTGACTTCTAATGTAAACCAAGGTTTAATGTTCGGT